ACGCCAAACTTAATATTACCAACTGGTTAGAAAAGTGGTGAGATATATAACCCGCGTGTTAGATATGTGTTACATGAGGGTATTAAATAACATATACAAAGCTCAATGTTTGCCAAACTGAACAAACAGTTCTGACATTCAATTTCATCTTGCGCCCCTGTTACTGCTTGAGAGGTTTCATTGATAGCATGTCAGACGTAATGAAATCCACTTGGATCATTCCATAATCCACATCAATGGCTTTTCCAAAGCAACCAAAACCTTCATGAGTTGATGTATATCTCTTGTGTCTTGAAAGTATATCTTCCAGGCTTTAACTGAATGTTTTTGTCTTGAACAAAGTCTCATTGTGGTATCCATGACTTATCTATGACACACATACAAAAGTGATTGATAGTAGATGTGTCTTTTTCATATCCTTTGTACATATTTAATTACATACATATGTATGTAGTATGTATCTCATTTCGATTATTCTTCTTTTAAATGACTTTATTATAACTATTATAACCCTTTCATTATCATTTGACATCATTCGAATACTTCAATTTTCATTCAGGAAGATCAAGATTCGACCATCTAGTTGATTACATGTCCATATCAACAGACTTATAACTTGAATTGTGGACTCGGATGATTCGAAACTCGTGACTTGTCAGGCTGTTTGTTATACGGCTTAATCATTGTTCGTAGTGGGGTTCTCTCAAGCGAGTTAAGGTAAGTCAACCTTCTATTGTTTTCTTTATAATCGTCAAAATACTCTTTTTACTGATTGCCCTTTCAATCTTCTGATCACTATAGTTTCAGAACGACCTCTTAATTACAATGCTATACGATTCCTTGGATACGATTAATCTCAAGCGTGAGTGTCTACTACACCGTGTCTGTGTAGGCTTTGCTAGTCGACGAGCGCACACCAACTCCCTTTGAGGCAGAAAGGGAAGTCGTGCGCGCTCGTCGACGAGCGAACACTACCCGGACACGGTGCTACATACCTTTGTCGAATCATATACTTATCTCAAGCTGACTTCGGTTCTCGTTTTGATCGTATATATAGATCTATCGGATTAATCCTGTTACAGTCTGTTCTGCCCAAGTGATCTCGACCTTCCACTTCAGCCTGGCCTCAACAATCTCATCAATCAATTTCCCTGAACTCATCACTTCGTTTCTGTCTGCTGGCGCAAGATCAGGTGATTGTTTTGTTTATTTATTATCAAAATTCATTCCTATACGCGTCTTCTCGGCTACACATTATATCTAGATTGTTTACTATTGCCCACCCTCTGATTGCTGGATATTCCTTTTCCAATCAGAACTCCATCAATCAGAATGACTAAATCCAAGCCTCGTAAGAACAGCGGCCAGGGCCCAAACTCCCCTACTAGCCCATCAAGCACCACCGATCCGAATATCAAGCAAGTCCTGCCAGGTCAAACCTCGTCAGCTACGCATGCCTCGGTGGCAGCTCCATCACAACCCATTGGACTAACTCCATCGCATACACTTCCCCCGCCGCCTACCGGCTTCACACAAGATGTTGCCCTATTGTCATTGATACAGTCGCTTCCAGCTGATCTTCGTGTCTTTCTCGACCCCAACTACGAAGAAAAGTATAACAAAATCACAAAGGTTCTGTTCTATCGAATTTTACTACACTTCGACCCTGCAACCTCCAGTCGTCCATCCCACCGCAAACCGGAGCTCAATGCAGCATTCAAGGAGAAGTTACTCCCCCGTCTCCTCCCTTTCTTGACTAGGCAACCTTCTGCTCCCATGGATACCGACGATGATCCTAACACCGACTTCAACCCTTTGGCACGCAAAACCACGCGCAAGATGCTGACCGAGGCTATCAAACGCAAAGTTCCAAGCATACACATACCAGCGGCAGCTCGGCGTGATGGTTTGCTTGTACTCTATAAGCAGCACGTTGACAAGGATCTAGTTCTTCCAGGTGAAATTGGTACCATCCGGAAGCCTCACCTCATCAAACCTAATGCGGTCGAGAATCAAGACATGGAAGATCTTCGATTGGCCATTCAGTGCCACGCGCCAACCGTCTTTGTACATACCATCCCAATGACTCACAAAGTTCTAGTCAATTGTTACATGCACTTTGTTCACGGGGTGAAACTGGATCCTGGTACTTTAGTCCGCGGGTTCCATTACTCGATCATTTCTTAGTTTTGTCGCAACGTGTGTAGTGAAACACAAGTACGTAACCACAGTTCTCTATCTTCTGCCGTTGCATGCCAAGACTTCTCCTTAATGTACATCTCAATTCTAATCTTTGCTTTATAGGTCAATCGAATCATTGGTTGGTGCAAATGCGTAGATGCTTTCAGTATGCACCCGAGGTTTCATCTTCTTATGTTTCAAAAAACACATGGTCAATCTCTTCATGAAACGGTATGTGGTAGGGACGGTGTTTTTGTAGTTGTAGCTACTGTAGTCTTAGATGCAGCTTAGATGCAGCAGGATCTGTTCCAAATCTATATCAAATCATGTATCTTCCCTCTACAACGCGCTCACATACCTACTCTAAAATTTGTCTCCGCACCGGAATTGTCTTGTTTTCAAATCTCTTCTTGCTTTGCTGATATTGTGTGACACGGCTGTTGTATTTCTCATTTTCTTTTACACCAAAAACTTCATTAAGCCAACAAAAAAACAAGCTCTTCTTACAATCTGTGTTCGTCTCAATAGCTATACCGTACTGTAACTCAATGTCTTCTTCAAAGAACAAGAAAGATACACACCGTGTTGTCTGTCTGTGCAAGGCGCATCAATGCTACCTAGGACATATCACCGATGCTCGCGGACAGCCTCAACGTGGAGTTGAGGTCTTGCCTGCTACTCGCGCTGCTCACGCACTTGCTGATCGACGCGAGCAAGCAATTAGAAGGAACTCTGAACCTCATCAAACTAGCACTCCTGAGGATTTGATCGCATCCTTGGCACAACTACATATCCCGCCCACGACAACGATTCCAGCAAGAGACGTTCATCCTCAAGAGTCCTCCTCCAAAGAAGGCTCATCCGATCATTCGCGTACTGAGAAGGCAACTAGTTCACTCACATATGATTGTGGTAAGTGATTTTTCACGCTCTTTCACCTCCTTGAAGTGGACCCTCAGCTATGATGGTGTCATGACACTGACACATCCTTTCATAGATCGTTTTTATACTTTTGACTTGAAACACATCAGTCCCCTTCTGCTCCATGTCGCACTCTCCAGCACAATCATGAGCATTTTCGACAATCTGTCTATTCGAACAGCCTTGTGGCTTATGGATGTCCAACGCATCACTATTGAGCTGTCAATGACTGTAGGCCTTGTGCCTAAACAGTCTGCTGGCGAGATCTCTGCGTCCGAAGTCAGGTTTTTGAACCGGATTCCAAAAACTCTAGCCACTGCGATTGGGTGGCTAAATATCGACCCAACCCTTATATTTATGAATTGCTGTACGAAGTGCTTTGCAATGTACCCGCTTGATGGAGCACCAGATGTTTGTAGTCATCAAGTGGCTACCATCCCAGGAGGTCCTCCAGACTTGCCTGATTCAAATACTGATATAAGGAGTGGCGCTGTGGAGGACTTCGAACCGGATCTTTCTGAAACGACATGTCTTGGTCCGCTTTCGAAGTTTGTGAGAGGCAAGAAGATAGCTATCAGGAAGTATGCGGTGCAAGATCTATGTAATTGGATTGCACGTTTATTCTCCCGACCACATATTGAGGATCAGCTCGACGAGTCACTTTGCGAGTCTAGAAAACCTTATAATGAGGAAGATACCATCTCCGATATCCATCAGTCAAGAGTCTGGAAGGAATTCAAAGATTCTGATGGGAAACAATTTACGGCTACTAGCGGTAACCTGGTTTTTGGAATGTTTGTGGATGCTATTAATCCATTTGGAAACAAAACAAGTGGCCACCATGTTTCGATCACTTTCATCGTTCTGGTTTGTCTGACTCTCCCAATTGAACTTCGACATTGGCCCGAGAACATATTTTTAGTAGGAATTGCACCTGGTCCTCGAGAGCCAGCTCTTGAGCAAATGAACTGGATCTTACGTCCAGTTGTGACGCAGCTTCAAAAGCTATGGAGCCCTGGGATTCAACTCTCTCAAACACACTCTTTCCCACATGGTCGACTTGTGAAGGCTGCGCTTATGCCTTTCATAGCCGACATACCTGCTTTACGACGTTCTCTGGGATTTCCAAGTGCTAGCGCCACTTTCTTCTGCTCATACTGTCATATCATCAAGAAAAACATTGAGAACTTGGACTCCGAAACATGGGATTATCGTACTAAAGAGGAGCACAATGCATGGGCTTACAAAGCTCGTGACGCCAAAACTATTGAGGAGCGTAAACAAATTTTCAAAACGCACGGTGTCCGTTATTCAGTACTTGTTGAACTTGAGTACTGGAACATTGTGGACTTTCACGTAGTAGACTCAATGCATAATCTGCTATTGGGTCTTTTATCGTGGCATCTGCGACGATTCTGGTCTATGCAAGATGTCAAGAATGAAGAAGACATTAATCAACCAGTCTCGACTTCAGAACTTCTACAACTTTTGGCCGAACACTCAGACCCACTACCACCCAAAGACTACGCAAAGGAATATGAAAATATCAATGAGAGCGAAGACCTTGAGCAGGAAGAGAGTCTCAACAGTAATACTTCAGAAAGTGATGCCAATTTTGATCCCCTTTCTAATGCTGGATGGAACGGTGTGTGGGAAGCTCCACCACCAGAAGAGATTGTCATCGATGCTACTATGCTTCAAACAATAAATCAGTTGCTGCCCAGAGTGCAGATCCCATCTTGGATCAAACGCGCAATACCTGTAGTAGGAAAGGCGTCATTTGGAAAACTGAAGGCCGATGAGTGGAGAAACGTTTTCTCCATCCAGCTGCCTTTAATTCTTATACCGTTATGGGCCGGAAGCGATCAAATAAAACTCTCGTTGCTCAAAAATTTCTGTGATCTTGTTTCATTTGTTAACTTAGCTCTCAAGAGATCCATCTCAAAAGCACAAATTGACAGATACCGAGTACATGTCCAAGATTATCTCGAAGGTTCCCTAGCGCTGTTTAGCCACTGTGGCCTTGCGCCAAATCACCATATGGCAATTCACTTGGCCGAATGTCTTGAACGGTTTGGACCAGTACGAGCGTGGTGGTCCTTTCCGTTTGAGAGGCTTATGGGCAGTATCCTCAAATCGTGTCACAATAACCATGTCGGTAAGCAACTCTCTTTGATGTGAAAACTCACTTGATTAAAACTAACAACGCTGTTCATATAAAAATCTCGCAGGCGAGCTTGAAGTCACGTTTTTGAATAACTACTGTCGGGCGGGAAACTTGGCTGCCCTCATGGATGATGAAAAGTTACCTGAACCCCTGAAACCGTACAAGCAAAGACTCCGAAAAATCTACGATCCAGTGCCATCCGAATCTAAGCCATTATCAAACTCTACCCGGCAAGCGCTTGACAAACAGGTGTTGAACCTACTTCTAACACATTTGAATACGATAAGTAAAGATAAGTGCGTTTGGATGCTCGCAGAAGATTGGTGTTTGCTCTCGAAAGAAGAGGCAATGGGTTCTGCAGTAGTTCCAGCTCAAGCACATTTCTTCAAACAATTTGTGCACGATGATGTGGCATACTCGACATTCACACAAAGCCCAAAAAATAGCTTCATCATCTTTAAATCTCGCTCGCCTGATAATGAAGAGGTGACTGAATTTGGCAGGATATTCTCGATATTTACGCACCGCCGGGCGCCAAACCCTTCACAAAATATCTGTGATACATGGGTGCATGTTCAACGTTTTCCTCACTTACCACCAGCTTCATACAATCCCTTCACAAATCTTGAAACACGCGATGTACAATTCAATATCCGTGCTTGGGGGCCCACAGAGGACCAGATCATTAGTATAAATGATGTGGTGACACATTGTTCGTGGATGATGTATAGGCCGGGGGAAATTCATAAGGAATTGAAAGTTGCAACAGTGGCCTTAGTCTCCATGGAAAGATAGTCAGAACAGGTACCAGTTTGGAAGGTATGTACTCCTGCATTGCAATACACTACAAGTGAAGTATTTGTAATGCGCTATATAAATGATACTCATTTTTGTATCACATGTGTTGACATCAGTGTTTGAAGTAGATGTATATATGCAATACTCTGTATAAGAAGTGAGGAATTCAAAAAGATTTACATCTCCTTAAGGTCCCAATGATCCACAAATGAGCTATAAATGTAATACATTATACAAGAGAATTAACAGTTGGAATTACACGTGGTAAGATAGGGGTTTTGTTAATTTCTAAAGTACTGAGTTCGTAAGGTGATAAATTTGCAAGCCACTCTGAATCGTAGCAGTCAATTGGAAGTCGACTGGGTGGGGTGATAGGACTGCAAGGCGCATCAGCTGTGCGCAGACGTGGTCGGGGTGGTCGACCATGCGTATTCTTTGGAATGCTTGAGGTAAGTTCGGATTTGTAAAAATCTAAAGCAATGAATACCTTCTCCAAATCTTCACTGCGCCAGGCAAGCTTGCGGATTCGACATGGAACAGCAGGACGCAGTGTTTTTGTAGGTGATTCAGCCTCAAGGTCAGTCTCGTCGTCACTACAGGCTACTTCAACAATCTTGGAAAGACAAAAAAGTTCCTCTTTTGATAGCACTATCTCATCTCGCAAAGACCTCAGCTATTGAAGTAATGTAATCATGTCAGATGTCGCTATCAAACCACAGTAGGTAATTTTGAAAAGGAGGCTTACATGCCTCATTCTAGCCTTTCGTCGGGTTTCATCGGTGATCTTTTTTTTCCGCTGATCATCCCAGCTTTGCTGTCGATACCTAGTCATTTCAAGAGGTAATTAGTTTGAAGCAGAATGGGAGCATTGAATTCATAGCTTACCTTTTTGACAGAGAGCCCACGTAAGTACTGAGACATTTCTTGATTTGTGTAGCATTGTCGGGTGCTAATGAGACCCCTGTATATTCTCCACACTCGACCAGCTTGTAAAATATTTTCAATGAAAGATCCCAGAGCCACTGATTGTCCTTGGAATTCGGGGACTCCGCAAAATCTGGTCGGAAAGATGAGACCCCAACGGATCTCATCATCCGCCACATCACGGCCAACTGTTGCGGAGTTGAATTGATATGGCCTGGTCCATTTGGGTACGGAAAGTGAGGATCGTGGTTGGCCTGGTGTTGAGTTTGAGATGAGGTGCCAGCATCGACATCCATCCTGGATATGTCGACTGTGCACATCCAAGAAGACTTTTCCTCCTCGTTAGCTGGTGGAGGCAATTCAGTGTCATTAGGATTTTGTCCCAAGAGTGTATCAATGTGAAATCGCATATTTGACTAGACGTGAGATCAAAGTTAGCTCTGTATGTTGAAGTGATGACAGAAGCAGCCACATCAAAATTACTTACAGCAGCCCGGCCACCGCGTGTCTTCTTCTTTTCTTCAACTTCACCTTTTTTCATACTACACACTGTTCGTGACAGATGTCCGAAGTCATTGGTCAAACTGTCAACCTTGTTATTTAGCGCTCGTATCTGATTTTGAAGGTTCCGGATCAAGATTGAGTCCTCTGCCGCCTTCTTTCGTAGATCTGCAATTGTCCAGTCGTTGGTTGAAGGTATTTGAGGCGAAGGTGGCGAGGGAGGTTGCTGAGATGAGCCACAAGTATTCTGTGCGTGGTGTTGAGATTGTTGAGGATTCGGGCAAGTTTTGGAAGCTCCATGTGAGTCTGATTCTTGATCTGATGCGCCACCAGGCTCCCACTCGCTTTCCGAAGGGATCTTGCGAGATTTGCCTTTTCCTGAATTCAGAGGAGACGGTCTCAAAGTGGGGTTGGGACGTGGGAAAGATAATCGGCCTTGTTCTAAGCTTGGAAAGAAAGGAGTTGATCTCATACTGGTTGATGAAGAAGAGATTGGTATTTGGGAAGTCGATTCCAGTGTAAAAGTTGATTGATCGAGTGTTGGAGATGTGCCAACAGTGTTTGCATTCTCTTTGGCTTTGTCGGAGCCTTCGATTGATTTACAAGTGCGCGTGCTCTTGCTCGGAGTATTTGCATCTAGTGCCGAAGTGAAACCATACATGATTCTTCATAGATATGAGACAATCCCTGGGACGCAAGACTTACTATTTAATGGAATCTCCTTGTCTCGTGGGAAAGACAATCGGCCTTGTTCTAAGCTTGGAAATACAGGAGTTGATGTCATAGTCGTTGATGTAGAAGAGATTGGCGTTTGGGAAGTCGATTCCAGTGGACAAGTTGGTTGATCGAGTATTGGAGAAGTGCCAAGAGTGTGTGCATTGTCTGTGACTTTGCCGGACCCTTTGATTGATTTACGAGTGCGTGTGCTCTTGCTCAAAGTTTTCGCATCTAGTGCAGAAGTAAACACATACATGAGTCTTCATAGATATGATACAATCCCCGAGACGCAAGACTTACTGTTTGATGGAGTCTCCGGGTCAGGTATACCCTCTCGTTCAACCGCCTTTCCTTTGAGTGAAGCCGTACTGCGCGTCTGCGAACCAGGTTTGGATGTGGCAGGTTTTGAGGGAGCTTTAGGGGTAGAAGTTTTCTTGGAAGATTGAGTGGAGGGCACGGCAGACGAAGCAGGTAAAGAGTTGACCGTGACAGCAGACTTCCTAAGTGTCCTACGCCTTGGAACTTGGGCTTTGATTCGATCGGCGGTTTCTTTTATAAAAGAGGTAAAACATTTTACATAATGAGATATTATATTATCAAAAATGAATCAGGTCTACTGAATGGACTCACCGGGAGTTCCTTCTTCTTTGCTTTCCATGTCCGCGTCATCTGATTGAAGGCTTGGCTTCTTGTAAGATGAACCCGCCTTTGAAGTCAAATCTGCCACAGCGGAACTGCTACGCTGCTCACCAACCTTTGGAATTGCACTCACACCCGTGGATTCTTCCCCTCGGGACCCCGAGTTATTGACTGAGCCTAGTGTAAGTTCATTGGCTGAAGTAGGGGAAGATTGACCCCCGCGTAATGGCACTTGCATTGTGAATTCCGAAGTTGACTGCAGACCCAGTTGGCTCACCCCAGGGACATCCCCCGAAAAATGATCGGGAATAAGAACTGTTTTCAAATCCAGAAGCTGTTCATCAATCGAAAGTCGATTTGGAGAGGATGTGCTATATATTACACTAACTTAAATCACGGTAGCTGTTGCACTGGTCAATGAGGGTTGCCCTGTCCAGCGCACGAGTATCAACTCCCACTGTTTTAAGGAGCTCCGCAAGTTGAAAATCATTGAAGACAGAGAAGTCGACATTTGATACCGAAGTCGCTTCAATTGTTGGTTCCGAAGTTGCTTCGACAGCTGGACCAGGGGGTTCTTGCACCTGAAGCGCAGGGGAGCTAGGAGCGTCTGTCTGATCGCGTCGGCCCTTTCCACGCACCGAGTGAACGCTGCGTATTGTTTTGTTTCGCTGTTTTTCGAATCGCAACTTCTTCCGTGTCACATGGTGATCGAGCAGGTCCAAAAGTCGGTTCCGAGTGGTCTTCGGTCCAATTTTAACGCCAACGTTGCCCAAGGACTGCTCAGCACTCGCCTGGTGCGACGGGACTCGCGTTTCTTAGAGTATGATGAGACAATCAGAATACAAAGATGCCGTGGGGATGTCTTGAGGAAGTGAAAAAGATATCATACCTTCATCATTGGTAGTTTCCGAAATTGCTCCATTGCCTCTTTTGTTCGATTTTTGGGGTTTCATCTTGCAAAGTGAATGAGTCTGATTGTACGAGAATACTCTTGTGTTTGTGCTATTGGGGTGAATTGATCTGAGAGAAAGAGGAAAATGTGGTCCAGCCGAATTGAAAAAAAGAGATTACACAGGACCAGCCTGGGAGATAAAACGTTGAGTTTGAAACTTTTCACAACAAAATCCGATCACAAAGGTGCGATAGGAAATTGGGGAGCACCCGTGCTTTATAACACACATGATCGGGTGTCTGAAGGGAATGATTTCGGGAGGTGGTCACTATGTGAACTTGTTGTAACACATCTGACTCATCCATCAAAGGGCTCAGTTATTGAAAAATGACTCAATCGGAACTATGTTCTCACGGGGATACGCAGACTTGGGGTTCTGACAAGCGAGCAACAAATAACTTGCACAATAACACTTGCCTATACCCTTCTTTATCATCTCCTCCGTAACCATTGTAGGTATTCATCTGATAAAGTATGTAGAGATACAGGACACATTTGGAATTGAAAGTATGATAATGGCGAGAAACAATGGGTTTATGTTTAAATGACTACTCGGTTGATGCTGGACCGGACTTGCTTGCGTAGGAAAGCCGCACAATCAGGTCACGGTGATATCAATGTTATCTTTGGATGTGTCGAAAAGCGTAGCCACACCTAAGCATAGATACGAATCAACATTGTCAATTATAATCACTTTCAGGTACCTTCAAAGAATATACTAACTTGCTGGGAACCTTAAGACTTCTCATGAACACCTTTGCACGCCCAAACATCCACCTATAATACGGAAGATATACATGAGACCCTAGTCAGAATACTATAGCTAGATTTGTCTTCCTAAATTACAACACAGATATCAAAGATTGAACGCACTCACCCCTTGTCTAAGCAGTGTCAGTGTCAGCCGCACCGTTGTGACCATCATTACCAGCGTTACCGGCCACGGGTTCAGGTGCAAGCTCGATCTGAAAGGGGACATCGAAGCTGTATATGATACCGCGCGCTTCATCGTAGACTTTGGGTGCTTGAAGGATCGGAAGGATGTAATACATGAAGCAGCCGATAAGTTCAGGCTTAGTAGCATGGCGAAGGTGGGGGATCGTGTGATAGAAGCACTTGAGGAATTCACGTAGATCATCTGCGGTGGTAATTCGCTGTTGAAGCACGCGCAAGTCAAGAGTAACAAGGTAACGAAGATTAAGAGGTATGGTGTAGATATGCACTGGTGGTGGGAGGTCCGCAACATCAGCGTGTCCTGGGTTAAAGAGTCCAGTAGGATGTTCTGGTTCAGCAGACATATTGATATGATACGAGAGAAACTTTTAAAAAGTAAGTGATTTTGATTGATTTGTAGAATGTTTGTTATAGAAGATATAAAATGAAATTGTGCCGCTTTGATTTAATAAAGTGATCTAATCTAATACCAATATGATGATGGGAGTTAGACGAAAGGATGCGAATAGATAGCCAAAAGTGACCTCATTATAAGGTAGAGTTCTCTCAGACGGCCCCCAGAAGTTTGACATCAAAGCCGTCTTTTACAAACTGATAACACCATGCCCTAGTCATCAGCTTGGTGTAATTGAATGTTGTTCATCGGGCAAAAGATGATTGTGATTGAACTGAAAATCTGAAGGAACCAGAAGAATATATCCTTCTTTCTAATGATCGACAATTTTTGAGGGTCAAACCACATATATCAAATTGATTTTGATCTGAAAACTACTTTCAATCTGAAAATCTGTACAATGGAATACACGCATATTATTATATAGTAGTGGAACATCTGATATCATAATTGTGTTCCTCCATGATTCTCAATTAATGATTGTCTCAAGTCCCCTCAGGCTGAGTTGATCGACATCGTCTTACTCATGCATATATAGGCACAAGCCTCCCGATTATAATGTTTCAAGATATATCAAAGACAGTCATTAATATGATAGAACATATATGTATGCAGTACAGATTGGGACTTATCTCGCGTGGTTTAGATATGTTGTTACATTGGAGTGAATACCAATTACAACTGTGACAACGCAATCATTAAATATATACTATCACGACCCTGAATTAAAGGCGCCAAGTGAAGTACAATCTTTTGTGGAATTTCAAAGGTGATCAGACCAGCTGCACCTTCAACCTTGATTTGGTCATACAATAAAATATCTCAGATAAGCTGTGAGCTCATACTGGAGCCCGCGGCCGAGCTAAGCTCATCCCCATCATCCATACTAATCAACCTTGCAATTACATCTTCATGCCCTCGGATATCTTCCGCTGCCGCAGTTAAATCTTTGCGGAGGTGGGTTACTTCAGATTGAAGGTTGGTGACAGTAGCTTCCAGAGATTCAAAATCTCCCACTTTTTGTTCGAGCTGTTTAACACACACCTGTAGCAAGCGGACTGCATCATAGAAGATGTCAAATGTCAGGACAGAACACATGATTATTCACGTAATTGAGTGTACATACCTTCTTCGTCTCGCCGCATCTCGTCAGCCAAAACGGTTAAGTCAGACTTCTCATTCATCTCCAGTTTCAATCTGAGATGCTCCACTGCTTCCTCAAGCTCCCGAACTGATTAAAAACAAAGTCAAAAGAAGAATTCTGCTTTCAGGAAGTAGAGTCCACGCACTTTGCTGCGCCCTGTTTCTTTCTTCTTGAAAGACATCTACACCAGACCTTTTGTTGCAAGTCTTACCAGACACGAATTGAAGTGGGATTTCGATGGGTGGAATGTCCTGTCCGACAACTATGAAAATAGAAATACTGATTGGTTCATTGTTAGTAGAGTTGAGATGTCATTCACCTACCTGGATTTGGTGTGTCCATCCAGTTGGTCTCTGATAAGTCGATGAGTGGCGGAATGTCGTTCGTGTGATTTTTTGAGACCTGAGGTTCGACAGCGGTTGGGATAGACTTTGAAACCGCTTTTTTTGATGTGTCAATCAGTGGCGGCATGCGATTTTGAGGGCTTTCAGATGCCTGAATTCCAACAGCGACAGGATCGGACTTTGAGACCACTTTTCCTTGATTTGTTCGGTTGTGAGACACCCCATTGAGCATGTGACGTTGCAACTTCCCAGATTTGGAATGCTAGTATCCAAATAAAATGGGGACGATTTGAGTAAAACTGGGCATGTGATATACAGATAGGTATGACTCACGCGCTTTTCTTTCTTGAGTAGCGATGATTCCTCCGGTATACTGGTGATTGAATGCCCTATATAGATCATGATCAGGTTTAGATATGATCTGGTCAGTCACTAGTTTGATAACGATTAAGCCAAAGCGAGGTAGCAGAGCTTGGATGATCACCTGGTTCTGAGCGCTTGAAAAGACGTTCATGATCAAGCTCGTTGGTCGCAGATCTCTTCTTTTGGGCGCCAATTTTGGCCACTGTCTCCGAGCGCGGAGGTGGAGGAGAAAAAGTTATCGAAGGAGTGAGGGGGACACTGGGCTTGTCCTCGGGCTTAAAACAGGCCATGGGTTAGCTTTTGATCCATAGTTATGTGAGTGACACGACTTACAGGTAAAGGAATACTAGAGACGGAACTGATCAAGCTGCCGGGAGAGAAAGTGCCGGCAGTTGGATCGATAGCAGGAGTATCACTTGCAGGATCTGGGAAATCTGGGTGATCAGGAAGAGAAACATGATGTCACGAGCCAAGAGATATTCATTAGCCACTGACCATAATTTATAACCCGGTGTGTCAGAAGGAAATACATAAACTCACATTGGGGTTGCACCTCACGCACTATCTTAGCAACTTCGGTTTTGGTGGATCCGCACTTGATGGGTACCTGAGGATGGTTAATACGTAACCAATCAAGCATAATCTGCTTGCTCATACCACGACTGCTTGGGTCCATCATCATTCGGGTTCAAAATTAGAGTCGATTGATTGAGGAGAAAAAAACAGACAGGACGTAGGAATCGGATGGAAGGAAAAATGAGATGAGGTTGAGGAGTATGGACCAAAATTGAAAGTTCACGCGGACCCAATCTATATATACGATCAAAACGAGAACCGAAGTCAGCTTGAGATAAGTATATGATTCGACAAAGGTATGTAGTAGACACTCACACTTGAGATTAATCGTATCCAAGGAATCGTATAGCATTGTAATTAAGAGGTCGTTCTGAAACTATAGTGATCAGAAGATTGAAAGGGCAATCAGTAAAAAGAATATTTTGACGATTATAAAGAAAACAATAGAAGGTTGACTTACCTTAACTCGCTTGAGAGAACCCCACTACGAACAATGATTAAGCCGTATAACAAACAGCCTGACAAGTCACGAGTTTCGAATCATCCGAGTCCATGATTCAAGTTATAAGTCTGTTGATATGGACATGTAATCAACTAGATGGTCGAATCTTGATCTTCCTGAATGAAAATTGAAGTATTCGAATGATGTCAAATGATAATGAAAGGGTTATAATAGTTATAATAAAGTCATTTAAAAGAAGAATAATCGAAATGAGATACATACTACATACATATGTATTGTATAAGCTTGTATATAATGACCTCGATTGAATTGTTCGCTGGGGAGGTTGAGGTTCGCTCAGAACAGAATGAGGCTATGTGTAACCAACTGTTTAGTTGATACATTTCTTTATATATAGATAACAGGTATCCGGCATTCAGGTTACAAAAACTTATTTAAACTAATTAATTAGTGTGATCACACGGTTGATAGGGTACTCCCCAGTCCTCATGACACTAGCAGCCACTTCATTCTTCAAAGTGTCCATCTCCCGATCCAGCTTGCCAAGTTCATCCTTTGTGGCCCTCACTTCAAGGAGGTCATTTTCGTTCACTATAAAAACAAGGATTATAGTTAGCTCTGATGTAGCTGTGGGCAATCAAGATAGAAAACAATTACCATTGTTTCCTTTTTGTTCGACTCTTTGGCACAAAGCCGCAAATTTGGTCCGGACACAAAGAAATGAAGCTTGAATCCGAGCGAGGCGTGCTTCGAATGTCTCATCTACAATAAGATTGATTATCAAAAGGTCAGGCTGATTATCCAGAGTGACACATTCGAAGAGTGCTTACCTTTCTTTTCGTGATCTAGATTTGGTTTGGGAACATCTTGTTCAACCGGTCCTCCGCTTTGAGGCATACTTGCAACGGTATCGATTGGGTTTCTTTGATTGGAAGTAGACGGAATAGATGTTGAAGTCAAAGAAAAGTGCTTGGTATAATGGGATTCAGAATTAAATATGTGACAAAAAAGAAAAGGTTGGAAGACAAAGCACCTTCATCTGCATGAGATAGCCCTACATCCATGCATTGAACAACGCGCTTCAAGTGATCTTCATAACTGACTCACAGCGGCCCACATAAAAACTCATACGTATGATGGTGTAGACTGTACGTAAGCATTTTACAAGAGTTGGTCCAGGTTCAAATCTTGACAGGGCTGTTTGGATTGAAAAGACGAGGAAAGATTGAAGGAATTCGAAATTGAGATACATAACTACACCAAAACAAATCAACAACAACCAGAGAGTATTGATAGTGATTACAAACATGACTACAGTATGACAGGTTATTGACTCTGACATATAACCCGCTGTCTATATTTTATTTATCACCCTTATGTAACACATACCTAACAGGCGGGTTATATATCTCACTACTTTTCTAAACCGGTTGGTAAATATTAAGTTTGGCGTAGTGATATTGAGTTGCCTGCGGCACCTCGCCCTCCGAACTACTCCTGGAGGACAGAGGCGTTTGTTTCTGGATCACCAGCACCTACGGACCGAGTTCTTTACGCATCCACCGATACGTGTGAAACTAACACGGCGGAATTGACCAGACTACCTCTTTCACCCCCGTCAATTTCACCCTTGCAATCGGAATCAACAATTATTGATCTTCATTTTAAAAAACTGCTTGAACAAAACCCCACTGCAAAGACGCCTCATCCACCGGTGCACTTACAAACAGAAACAGCAATTGTAGCTCGTCCAACGTTTGACCTAACGTCGGAGACGATGGCGGACAAGTCACACGAGCCAAGTCCCGGAAGTGAGGATTCTGTCGACTATTTACGACAACAACTAGAGGCTATGAAGCTTCAAAATGAGAAACTGGAAAGGGTGTCAAATGAAAACCTAACACTCCAGAAGCTAGTGCTTTCGCTGCTGGAAGAAAAAGCACAGGTCAGGCAAACAACCGACACAGCATCGGCTCCTCCTTTGGCTTGCGCTGCTAATGTCTTTCAACGTTACATGCATCAAACCCCAGCTTTGCCCTTGCCGTTACCTCG